GCACACTTAAATCTGTTAAGAGGGGTGGATGCTGTGGTGCAGTGGGTTAAGCTGCCACTTGGGATGCCCACATCCCAGATGGGAGCATAGATTCAAGTCCTGCCTCTGCTTCCCACTAATACACACTCAGATGATGGCTCCAGTACTTGGTTTCATGCCATCCAAATAGGAAACCTGGATGGAGGTCCTGGCCCCTGGCTTTGTCCTGGTCCAGTCCCTGCTGTTGCGGGCATTTGGGGAGTGAAACTAGAGGAAGGAAGATCTCTTTTTCTCTCTCTCTGCCTCTCAAATAAAAATAAATAAATATTTTTAAAAATCCATAAACAGGGGAGATCTCAAGTAAAGTGTTATGAAATAAATAATAATAATAACAATAATAATAATACCACCCAAAACCCATCTTCTTCTTGGAAGATCCAGAAGGAAAGTTTAAACGTTTAGTATCCTTTCCTCCTTTTCCTCACTCGGCTCCCATCTCTTCACAGGCCACACTGTAGTCATCATTACTGCATCCTTCCCAGGGACATCTTTTTACAAGGATGGTGCAGGGGCTGGCATTGTGGCATAGTGGGTGGGGCCGCCACCTGCAGTGCTGGCATCCCATATGGGTGCCGGATGGAGTCCTGGCTGCTCCATTTCTGATCCAGCTCTCTCCTGTGGCCTGGGAAAGCAGTAGAAAATGGCCCAGGTCCTTGGGCCCCTGCACCCATGTGGGAGACCTGGAAGAAGGTCCTGGCTCCTGGCTACAGATTGGCGCAGCACCGGCCGTTGCAGCCATTTAGGGAATGAGCCAGCAGATGGAAGACCTCTCTCTCTCTGCCTCTCCTCTTTCTGTGTAGCTCTGACTTTCAAGTAAGTAAATAAATCTTCAAACAAAACAAAACAAAAACAAGGATAGTGCACTAGTTTCCTGCCTTTTTTTTTTTTTTAAAAAGATGTATTTATTTGAAAGCTAAGGTGACAGAAAGAGAGATATGTTCCATCTATTAGTTCACTCCCCAAATGGCCACAACAGCCAGATCTGGGCCAGGCTGAAGCCAGGAGCCAGGAACTCCATCAGGTCTTCAGTGTGGGTGGCAGGGACTCAAGTACTTGAGCCATCACCTGCGTTTCCCATGTGTATTAGAGGGAAGCTGGATTGGAAGTAGAGTGGCTGGGATTTGAACCTGCACTCTGATATGGGGTGCAGGTATCTCAAGTGGAGGCTTAACCTGCTTCACCACAACACCCTGTGCCTCCATCAGCTATGAGCGTTGGCTGGACTCACAGCTGCACTCTTCTCTGGAGAACTGTCCTCAGCTCCTGTGAGCTGCTTTGCCCACATACAGCTGGGAAGGTTTGGCCTCCCCTCCCCCACCTCTCAGAGGCCATAGTCCCTGAATGATTGATGCGCGGTGCAAAGCCCAGCTGCCTTGTTTCAGTGAGGGGTAAATCTTGTGATGCGCTTCATGCTCCAGAGCTCCCTGGAGGATCAGACCGAGGAAGGACTTAGGTGAACCCACATCTCTGCTAGGCTTCTTTTCCTGCCCTGTTCCTCACTCTCCTAAGAAACCCCAGGTTCTAGTCCCAGTCGGGGCGCCGGATTCTGTCCTGGTTGCTCCTCTTCCAATCCAGCTCTCTGCTGTGGCCAGGGAGTGCAGTGGAGGATGGCCCAGGTGCTTGGGCCCTGCACCCGCATGGGAGACCAGGAGAAGCACCTGGCTCCTGGCTTTGGATCAGCGCAGTGCACCAGCCATAGCAGCCATTTGGGGGTGAACCAATGGAATAGGAAGACCTTTCTCTCTGTCTCTCTCTCTCACTGTCTAACTCTGCCTGTCAAAAAAAAAAAAAAAGACTTTCCACACTTGTGCCTTCACACTGGGCAGTGTATTTAATAATAAGGCAGTCGGACGCTTACTCTGTACCACGCTCTGTGTGTCCATGACCTCACTGAATCCTCCAAACAACCCGACAAGTACTTATTAACTTGGGGAAGAGGAAGTTGAGGCCCTGTGAGATTGAGTGCTTGCTGGCAGGATGTGCCTGATGTCAAACACTCGGATTTAACCACTTGACTCTACCCTGTAAGATCGAATGCTTCACATGGTCCCCTAGACCGTGGGACCTCGTGCGCATCACAGACACGTTTTTGTCTGTTGCTGACAGACTGCACTGTGGACTTCCTGTTACTGAAATCTTCCTTGAGTACCTTTGCTTCTCATGCCACGCCTGCCGTAGGAGGTGGGGCGAAACCCTGCGCCTCTGAGCTCCCTGGGGGCACATTCTGTGTTCCTGAGCCCCTGCCAAAGACGCAGCTGCAGGCCCCCTGCCTCCCGCTCCGTTCCGCAGCGTCTGGGATCTGCACTGCTGAGAACAGCAGCAGGGGAAACAGCTCATCACTTCCCAGAGTTCGCAGAAGACACAGCAGGCACTGAAGCAGAGAAGGATGAGGCCTGGGCCAAGGAAGAAGGGGAATGGCTCCCGTGGGAGAAGACGGCCTGGAGGAGGGAGACTGTCCGGAAGAGGCCGGCAGCGGGACTCCTTTTCAATCATTCCTTTGACAAATGCTTTTAAAAAACATCTACTAATTTATTTGGAAGGCAGAGTTAGAGAGGGAGAGAGACAGAGAGATCTTCTACCCGCTGATTCACTCCCCAAATGGCAGCAACGGCCAGGGCTCAGCAAGGCTGGAGCCAGGAGCCTGGAACTCTGTCCAGGTCTCCCACATGGGTGGCAGAGGCCCAAGTACTTGGATCATCTTCTGCTGCCTTCCCAGGCCTGCTAGCAGAGAGCTGTATTGAAGTGGATCAGCTGGGATTTGAACCAGGGCTCAAAAGGGATGCTGGTGTCGCAAGTGGCAGCTTAACCCGCTGTGCCACAACGCCAGCCCCAACAAACTGTTTTTAACCTCCTATAGTGATCTAGGCATTGTTCTAGGACCTCAGAATTTAACAGTGAACAAACCAAAAATGTTGCTTTAGTGGAGCAGGATGGGAATAGCAATAACAAAAATAATTGTACTAGTGGCTAATATTTTTTGAGCATTTACTATTGAGTCAAGCATTTGTCTTATCATCACAACAATCTCAGGCATTTGACACTACTGTTAGGCCATTTTACAGGTGGAGACAGGGAGACACAGTAGCCAAGGGACTGGCAAAGTTATGCAGAGGTAGTGTAGACTCCCCTATCTCCACTGACAGATTTGAAAAAATATGTTCTTGTAAGAAAAACATTCAAATAATACAGATAAAGCTCAGGTTCTCCTCTCCCGGCCCCACCCTCACTAGTCTCTGCCCGAGATGCCTTCCCTTACAGTCTTATTCCTGTATATAGGCTTACTATACTCACATGTCCATACGCAGTTTTTAAAAATATATTTATTGGGGCTGACGATGTGGCATAGCGGGTAAAGTCACTGCCTGCAGTGCCGACATCCCATATGGGTGCTGGTTCAAGTCCTGGCTGCTCCACTTTGGATCCAGCTCTCTGCTATGGCCTGGGAAATTAGTAGAAGATGACCCAAGTCTTTGGGCCCCTGTACCCACATGGGAGACCTGGAAGAAGCTTCTGGCTCCTGGCTTCAGATTGGCCCATCTCTGGCCGTTGCAGCCATTTGGGGGAGTGAACCACTGGATCAAAGACCTCTTTCTCTTTGTCTCCCTCTCTGTAATTCTGACTTTCAAATAAATAAATCTTGAAAAATTGCAATATATTTATTTATTTTATTTATTTGAAAGAGTTACAGAGAAAGAGGGAGAGAGAGGGATCTTCCATTGTTGGTTCCCTCCCCAAATGAATGCAACAAGGCAGGAGCTAGGGAGCTTCTTCCAGGTCTCCCATGTGGGTGCAGGGGTCCAAGCACTTGGGCCTTCCTCCTCTGCTTTCCCAGGCACATTAGCAGGGAGCTGGATCTGAAGTGGAGCAGCCGGGAACTACTGGCACAGTTTATTTATTTGAAAGAGTTACACAGAGAGGAGAGGGAGAGAGGGAGAGGGGGAGAGAGAGAGAGAGGTCTTTCATCCGCCAGCTCACTCTCCAATTGGCCACAACAGCCGTAGCTGGGCCAATCTGAAGCCAGGAGCCAGGAGCTTCTTCCGGGTCTCCCACGTGGAGGGTCTCCCACGTGGATGCAGGGACCCAAGGACTTGGGCCATCTTCACTGCTTTCCCAGGCCATATCAGGGAGCTGGATCGGAAGAGGAGCAGCGGGGACTAGAACCGGCGCCCATATGGGATGCTGGCACTTCAGGCCAGAGCGTTAACCCACTGCGCCATAGCGCCGGCCCCCATACACAATATTTTTGACTTGACTAGCTTCCTAAACGTATGACTTAACTTTTTTGCCTTAACTGCCTGGCACGTGGTTCCTTCCTGCCCACACAGCTCTGCGCTGTTCTGACTGCCGCACAGTGTTTCATTGCATGGATGGACTAGTTTAGTATTTCAATTTTCGGATATGACAAACAATGCCGCCATTCACACGTTTTGTAAAAGCCCTGCAGATCCTCTTCCCACCGCAGAGCTGGAAAGTTTCTCCCCGAAGCACCCACGTGAAGAAACCAGCGAAAGCACTGCCAACCGCCCATCCCATAGTAGCTTCTTACGCGTCGGCAACAGCTGTGCTTTTTTTTTTTTTTTTTTTTCCCCATCCCCGAATGGATTTTTCTCCTGAGAATAGAGGCGGCCTCGGGCTCCGGTGAGTTTAACAAAAAAAAAAAAAAAAAAAGGAAAGACAACAAAACCCTACATACACAAACCTCTAGTCCTAGAAAAAAAAGGGCCTGTGTCTTTAAGACAAATTGGCTCCTCTGGGAGTTGTAGTTTGGCAGGTCCACAGAGCGGCCCTCTAGCCTCACCTCCCTCAGCCATCCGCAGGCTCTCTCTCCTGTGAGAAAGCGCGGCCTTGACCATACCCACGGGTCCCCGCGGCAGCACCCATTTTGCCTGCTGCAGGTCTGAGCGCCAGCCTGGGGCGGAGGGTGAAACTACATTTCCCAGGGTGCGCCACGAAGGGCGCGCGCCCGCGTTAAAGAGCCCGCCCCGCCGAGCGCAGGGGCGGCAGGTACACGTCCGTGCGCCGGCAGGGGTGGCCCCAGCACACCTGTACCCGGGCGATCCCGGACCTGCACGCAGAACCGGGCCTCGAGCCGCCCAGCTTCTGGGCGGGAGTCCGGGAAGAATCTCTGGGAGCCCTGTCAGCGCCCCCGGGAGCCCACCTACTGCAGGCGGCTTGTTCCGTTCCGTTTTCTTTGGCCTGGGTCTCTGAGCCGGAGCCACGGGGACTTGCCCTGTGCTGCGGGACCTGCGGACGCCGGGGACTGGAAGGTGTGCGGGCTCCCAGGACCCCTCACACCAGAGGCAAGTAGGGCGCAGGAAGCCGGCGCGGCGCCGACTGTTCCTTGGGGCCGTTTCCTGCCTCAGTTTACCCCGCCACGGTTCATGCTTTTGCAGGAATCTCGTGGCATGCTGTTTATGTAACTTACAACATCATTTTACTTCCAGTTGGTTCTTAACTGCCCTCCCTGAGCCCGGCTTTTCTCTTTAAAGCTCTGAAATGCTCCGTCTCTGCTCCACCTCCTGTGGCCTCTATGAAGAGGCCTTATTGTTTTATTCCGCTCCGGGCCACCCACCCTGTCCCATGTTTGAACAGCTTTAGCCTGAGGGCTCAAGTGTTTCATCTTGGCCTCAGCGGATGAAGTTCTGAGAATGGGCATAATGTTGGAATGCTTGGAGGCCCGGTATTCTAAGATTTCTACGCAAATATCGAGGGTGACAGGGGCCAGAGACTCCACGAGGGAGGTCCTGTTTCTACAGCAGGATTCAGAGCACCTGCATTGGGGTTGCACCCACCTGGCCTGCAGGTACTAGCTGGGCTGAACCTTGGGCAGTGAAGCCACAGTCTCCTTATCTATTGCCTGCGTGTGATAAGCTTTTGATAAGGGCTGTTGGGGGTGGGTCACAGGAACTGCCACTTGGCTTTGGGCAAAATGCCTGAAAAAAAAAAAAAGCACTCCTTAAGTGTTAGCCTCTGTGTTTTGTCTGATCTGCCACTCAGCCTTGGTTGGTTTCTCCAAGCCTTCCCTGGCTTTTTTTTATTTCCTGGGGCCACCTTTGACCCAAAGAATATTTTAGAGCCTTCGCTTCAAGGTCAGGCCAAACTTCTGCTCCTCTGCACGGTCGCCCCCCACCCCCCAGAGCTTCTGCCATGTGCCACATCGTTCACATTTTTATTTAATGCCAACAATAGTCCTAGGAAGCTGATGCCTGGCTTTGGTTTTCAGGTTAGGAAACCAGCTCAGAGACATGGAGTAACCTGCCCAGGATCACCCAGGCACGGGAGAGACGCTGTGCTCTGTGCTAGCGCCCAGGTTCCTCCACTCCTGCTGCTCGGGTTTGGTTTGAATAGGGCTGTGCACCCCTCTCTGGCCAGGAATTGTCAGACTGTGCTGAGATGAAGGCTGGGCTGTTGGGTTCCCCCTGGAGCATTTCTTCCTTGCTCTTTTAGTGCCTTTGCTTGTGGCCAGACTTTGTCACCACCACCGGAGGAAGAATCTGGGCCACACAGCTACCCACGTTGGCCTCGGTAAAGTAATATTAGGGGCACACTTCAAGGAGTTTGTGGAAAAAATGAAATTAGGTACAAAAAACTTTGAAATCCCTGCAGTTTTTATGACACATTTGTTGTAAAAATGTTTATTTATTTGTAAGAGTTGGCGAGAGAGAGACACCACACACATACACACAGATATCTTCCACCTCCTGGTTCACTCCCCAGGGTGGCCACAGTGCCTGGGGCTGGCCCAGGCCCAGGCCCAGGCCCAGGATAAAGCCAGAAGCCAGGAACTTAACCCTGTGGTGAAGTGCTACCATGTGGGTAGCAGGAGTCCAAATACTTGGACCATCATTCATTGTTTTCCTAGGCTCATTATCAGGGAGCTGGATTGGAAGTGGAGCAGCCGGGACTTGAACCCTGGCACTCCAGTATGGGATATGAGTATCCCAAGAGGTGGCTTAACTGCTGTGCTGAATTTCTATCTTGGATGAAAAGAATCATAGTGTTTTTTGGGCAGATGTTTGGCACAGTGTCTGGGACTATTTAAGATGCTGGTTGGCATGCCTGTCTCCCATGTCAGAGTATCTAGTTCAAGTCCTGGCCCTACTTCCAATCCAACTTCCTGCTAATGTACACTGTGGGAAGGCTGCAGGTGATGGCTTTAAGTACTGGGTCTCTGCCACTTGATTGAATTCCTGGCTCCTGGCTTTAGCCTGGCTAAACCCTCACCTGTTGCAGGCATTTGGGGAGTGAACCAGTGGATGGAAAACATCTCATTCTATCTGTCTCTGTCTCTCTGCCTTTCAAATAAAAAAATGAAAATCAATTAAAAAAATCATAATGTTTTAGCTATGGTCTAGAGTGGGTGAGCTCAATCCCACTTCCTGTTATCACAAATATCCTTATTTTAGTGTTGCCTTGATTGGATTAGGCTTTTTCTTAATTATAGCTAGTGCATAATGAACACATTATATGTTTATTCCTTTTGCACTTGTTTCAGCTCTACAAAGTAGGTTCAATGTAGTGGTTAAGAGAATGGATACTGGAGAAAGGTGTTTAGATTTAATTTTAGCTGCCTACTAGCTGTGTGACCTTGGGCAAATTACTTAATCTTTCTGTCTCTCTCTCTCTCTCTCTTTTTTTTTCTTAAGATTTATTTACTTATTTGAAAGGCAGAGTTACAGGCAGGCAGAGGCAGAGAGAGAGGTCTTCCATCCACTGGCTCACTCCCCAGATGGCTACAACAGCGAGAGCTGTGCCAATCTGAAGCCAGGATCCAGGAGCTTCTTCCCAGTCTCCCGCATGGGTGCAGGGTCCCAAGGACTTGGGCCATCCCCTACTGCTTTTGCAGGCCACAGCAGAGAACTGGATCGGAAATGGAGCAGCCAGGACTCAAACCAGTGCCCATATGGGATGCTGGCCCTGAAGACGGCAGCTTTACCCACCACACCACAGTGCTGGTCCTGCCTTATTTTTTTTTTAATTAATTAATCTATTTCATTGGAAAGGCAGAGTAAGAGCTCCTCCATCTGCTGGTTCACTCCCCAGATGCTAACAGCATCTTGGGGCTGGACCAGGCCAAAACCAAAAGCTGGAAATTCAGTCCAGCTTTCCCATGTGGATGGCAGGGACCCAAGTACTTGGGCCATTATCTGCCCCCTCCCAGGGTGCGCATCAGCAGGAAGCTGTAGTTGGAAGTGGAGCCAGGACTCTGACATGGCAAGTGGGTGTCCTAAACAGTCTGAATGGTTACACCCTGCACCTACCCTCTTAGTTTCATCCTTGCGGATAAACAGTCTTCCCAGACATCAGAGTTTGTCGCAGTGCCTTTTCCTTTGAGGGTGCCAAGAGGGGATGAGTGATATTATACTCCTTATGTTAGTTTGGGTCTTTGGAGGAGCAATTGCCACGGTGGTGTTAGATTTGCGATAGTTTCTTGGAAGGGAAAGGGGAGGAAGCTGGGGCGGCCAGGAAAGATGTCACTCTGGGCTGTAGGATCCAGGAGCGCTTTGAGGAGGGAAGAGTCAGACAGCAGTGCGGTCCTAAGACATTATCAGCTGGGGGCTCTTGGAGCAAAGCTGCCTGTCAGAGGAGTCTCAGATCTTGCAAGAGTCTTGCAGGAATGGGTCTGCGCTCAGTCACTGTTCCCAGCCAGTTATGGGGATTGTAGCCTCCGCGTGATCCACCTGGAGGCATCTGTCAGCTGTGCTCCCTGTAGCTGCAGGAGACCTCAGAGGGTTGGGGTGCCAGGGCCACACAGGGAATTGGTGGTCACTCGAGTTCCTCGCTGACCCCTTTCTGGGAAAGACCAGGTGCCATTCTGGAGAAAACCTTTGCCCGCAGGTGCCTGGCTGGGATCTGGAGTTCCGTTCCAGGCTGAGTAGGGAACAATGCAATTTCTGTTACTGGTGGAGGCTTTTCCTGAAGGCTTGAGGGAGTGTGGGTGTTGTTAAGTGGTGGTGACGTGTCAGCCTTAACCACAGGCTCGGTGGCAGAAGAGTCTGGCATCAGAAGGGACTGTTGCTGAGGTTTGGGTTTCCTGTTGGTTTTGGCTGGGGTGGGAACTGCCCACTGGGTGCACACCCAGGGTCCATCTCTGTTGGTGGCGCACAGTTAGCCTTGACTGAGCTTTGGGGGCTGCAAGAAAAGGTGATGAGGGCGCTGCTTCGTGAGACAGCAGCGGGGTCCTGCTGTTCAGTGCTCGGAGGGTGTGGTGCTGCTGACTGTGGGGCACTCCTGAGGCCTCGTATACGGATATCTCGGGGAGATCAGGGGCTCTAGTGCCCAGCTGGGAGGAGGATGGGTGGGGGTAAAGCCCGTTAGCCTCACTCCGCCATCCCCACCCCACTTCCTGAGAGCGCTCTGGCAAAAGACAGCTGACAGGTGGGGTGCAGCCCCTCTGCCTTGGAGCATCTGAAAGGGGAGGTGCCTGTGTGGGTGCCATTGGCACCCTGCCTGGATCCCTGTGAGCAGGCTGGTGTACCCCCTCACAGCTCATTATGTGCATGTCGGCTTGCACCCTGCCTCCTCCTCCAAGGAACCACCCTCAGAGGTTAGAAGTGTTCTCTCTCTCCCTCCCCTGCACCTCACAGCCAGTGACCGAGTGGTGAAGGTCTGGTGGTACAGAAAGGGCAGCCCTTTTGCTTATGCTAGGGCCAACTGTAGCCCTGTCTGACTTCCCTAGGAAGTCACATGCACCCACACTTTGCAGGTCACTGCAGGGCTACCGCATGACCCCGCAATCCCACTCCCCCGGGATCCACCTAGAGAAATGAAGTCTTTTTTTTTTTTTTTTCAAGATTTATTTATTTGAAAGGCAGAGGAAGAGGGAGGGTCAGAGAGAGAAACCTTCTGTCCACTGATTTACTCCCCAAATGACCCCAATGCCTAGAGCTGCGCTGATCTGAAGCCAGGAGCCAGGAGCTTGTTCCAGGTCTCATCTCCTGTGTGGGTACAGGGGCTCAAACACTTGGGCTATCTCCCACTGCTTTCCCAGGCACAATAGCAGGGAGCTGGATCAGAAGTGGAGCAACTGGGACTCAAACTGGTGTCCATATGTGATGCTAGCACCGCGGGTGGAGGCTTTACCCACTACGTCACAGCGCCAGCCCAAGAAATGAATCTGATCTTCACGTAAAGCTGCCCCCGGAGGTTTCTGACAGCTCTCTTCATGATTGCAAAACCTGCAGGCCGCCAGCTCTCTTCCATGGGCGACAGAGAAACACTGCAGTGTGTACTTGCGGGGGATACTGCTTGGCAAAAAAGGGGTCAGGCTGTTGATCTGGGCGACAACTCAGATGGGTCTCAGAGGCGTTATGTTGGATGAAAGAAGCTAATTTCAAAAGCTTATCTTCCATTTATGTGACTTTAAAAAAAAGGTTTTGTTTATTTATTTATTGAAAGGCAGTTACAGAGAGAGAGAGAGAGAGAGAGAGATTCTTCCATCCACAAGTTGCCCAAATGGCCACAATAGCTGGCGCCGGGCCAGGCTGAAGTCAGGAGCCTGCAACTCCATCCTGGTCTCCCACATGGGTGACAGGGTCCTAAGCACTTGGATTGTCTTCTGCTGCTTTCCTAGGTGCATTAGCAGGGAGCTGGATTGGAATTGGAGCAACTGGGACTCAAACTAGTGCAGATATGGGATGCCGGTGTCACAGGTTGTAGCTTAACCCACTGTGCCACAGTGCCGGCCCTTATTTGACATTTTTGAGAGAATGAAACTATAGCTATGGGGAACAAATTGGTAGTTATCAAGAGTTAGGGATGGAAAAGATAGGACTATAAAGGGATAGCATGAGGGAGTTTTTTTGAGGTACAAATAGTGATGGCTACAGAAATCTTTGTAACAATTAAAATTCATGGAATTATACACCAGAGTCTTATAGTTTAACAATTATTCAGCAGTGAGTGTTTGGCGTAGTGGTGAAGATACTGCTTGGGACACACACGTCCCGTATCAGAGCCTGGGCTTGAGTCCTGGCCCTGCTTCTGATTCCAGCTTCCCAGTGATGGCGTTCCAGGCTCCTGGCTTCTGGATATTGCAAGCATCTGGGGCGTGAACCAGCAGACGGAACGCCTCTCTTTGTGTCTCTGCCGTTTAAGTATATGAAAATACATAAATAATATTCCCATCCTCCATGTACCACCGCCCTAGGAAGGCCCTCCGTTTTGGCCAGAATGGAGCAGCCGCAGGGAGTTGATTGGACGGTCCTCGTCCTGACGTGCCAGTATAAGGACAGTGTCCAGGTCTTTCAGAAAGGTAGGTGGCTCCCCCTCCCCACCTCGCTCCTGTTGTAGACTGTTGCATACCCACCCCCAACTCCCCAGCGCATGACCTCTCACTTGTCCTGTCGGTTCACTGGGCTTCAGTTTTCTCATCTGTAAAACGGGAGCAGTAGTACTTCCCTGACAGCACTGAGTGGCGAACTCGTAAGCCACCATTGGAAAAGCTACTGAGTCACAGAAATGAACGGTGACCCTCAGTCGGCCTGCTCAGGGGCCTGGGGCCAGGGCAGAGACCCAGGCAGCAGGTCCCAGAGCAGGTTCTGGCCGCAGAGCTGGAGGTGCGGCAGAAGCGCCAGCAGATCCCCGCTGGGACACTGTTGCTGGCGGTGGAGGACCCCGAGATGCGTGTGGGCAGCGGAGGAGCCACGCTCAATGCCCTGCTGGTGGCTGCTGAACACCTGAGCGCCCGGGCGGGCTTCACGGTGAGTGCCCTGAACCGCCACCCCACAGCCCGGCTCTCTGTGTGTGGGGTTTCCAACATCCCTGGCTCTTCCGGCTCCATCGCCCTGGCCAGTTCAGCATTTGGCTTCTGTTTCTGTAAACTGGGAAGACTTCTCCTGGCCTCACCATCCAGGTGAGAGCAGAAGGCAGGGCTTTCTTTTGAAAGGCAGAATGTTAGGAGAGAGAGAGAGAGAGAGAGAGAGAGAGAGAATTTTGCATCTGCCAGTTCACTCCCAAAATGATCACAACAGCCAGGTCTGGAACTCCAGGAGCCAGGAACTCTATCCTGGTCTTCCATGTGCGTGCCAGGGACCCAAGTACTTGGGTCATCTTCCGCTGCCTACCCAGACGCATTAGCAGGAAGCTGGATCAGAAGTGGAGCATCCAGGACTTGCACCTGCACTCCGATGTGCGATGTGGCATTGCAAGCAGCGACTAGATCCTCTGTGCCACAGCCCTGGCCCCAGGGCTGGGTTTTGTAGTGCTTTTAGGTCGGAAGTAGAATCTCAATGTGCAGCTCTTTGTTTTCTTTTGGCAAAGCTCTGCTTCCCATGTGGCCACTTCGCTGGAACTGCTATGTGGCTGCCCTCTTTGGGCTGGGCTTGTGAGTCAGTGTCCCCCTGGGTCTGTCCACACTCACCAGCCATCTCACTCAGTTATCTTGTCTGCCACAACGCTGACATACAGAGGGAGATGGTCACAGACAGGGACACATTCTGGCAATGGAGGTGCCAGGGGAGGGGACCACTGTGTGACTGTCATGGAGCTGACTTCCCCTGAGTCACCCATTTAGTCCCAAGTTGTTGCCTGCAACCTCTGCCCAAAACAGGGAGCAGGGAGACAGGCATTTGGTGAAGCGGTTAAGACACTGGCTGAGGGGCCAGCGTTGTGGTATAGCAGGTAAAGCCACCGCCTGTTGCTGGCATCTCATATGGGCACCAGTTCAAGTTCCACCTGCTCCACTTGTGACCCAGCTCCCTGTTAATGCATTTCGGAGAGCAGTGGAGGATGCCCAAGTCCTTGGGCCATTGTACCCACACGGGAAACCTGGAAGAAACTCCTGGCCCCTAGTTTTGGCCTGACGCAGCCCTGGTCATTGTGTCCATTTGGCGAGTGAACCAGCGGATGGAAGATCTCTTTCTCTCTCTGTCTCTTCCTGTCTCTGTAACTCTGCCTTTGAAATAAGTAAAATAAATCATATATATATATATAAAATATAAAATATATAGAATAAATCATATATATGTGTGTATATATATATATGAAAGACAATGTTGAGACAGTTGCATCCCACCAGAGGGCCTGTGTCAGGTCTCTGCTCCGCTTCCTGCTAATGCGCACCCTGGGAGGCAGCAGGTGATAGCTCCAGTAGTTGGGATCTTGCCACCCGTGAGGGAAGCTTGGATTGAGTTCCTGACTCCCAAGGTCACCCTGGTCCAGCCTTGGCTGTTGTGGACATTTGGGGAGAGAAGCAGTAGAAGGGAGCTTGGTTGCTCTTTCTCTTTCTCTGCCTCTCAGATAAGTAAATAACAATAATAAAAAAAAAGTAGGGAGCCGAGAGGTAGCCCAGGTGCAGGGCCACTGGGGTGCTGAGCTGCTTTGCCCCGAAGGGCCGGGGCTGCCCCAGGCCTCTCAGCACTGCTCTCCTGCCTTTGACAGGTGGTCACGGCTGACGTCCTGCACTCGGCCTGGATCCTCATTCTGCACATGGTAAGTGGAATTCGGGGTACGGGCCACGGGAAAGTCATGGTCCCTGCTTCTCAGGACTGAGTGGGCTTCAGGGGTGCTCTGCCTGGGTGTGTGTGTGCCACGTGTTCATTGTGTAAATCCAGAAGACTCAGAGTCAGAACCCATCTCAGACGTCCCCACATTGGGAACTGGATGGCACCTGCAGCATCTGCTCCTGGTGGAATGTCAGACAGGGAATCAGAAGCCCGCCGAGCTCGATGTGTCAGCCCAGAAGGAGACTTAACAGCTCTGGGATCTTGGGCAAGCCTCCTGACCCTTCCTAGGCCCCAGTCTCCTCATCCATAAAATGAGGTGACCACAGTTCGTGCTTTGCTGGTTGTGCTGAGAAGGTATGTGTGAGCGCTTCCAACAGGGCCTGGCTCGCTCTGAGTGCTCGGTGAGTGCATTGTTGTTGCTAAGTGAGAAAGGCCAGTGACAGAGTTTGATAGAATGAGCTCAGTTTCTTTAAGAAAACCAATGAGTTTATTTGAGAGGCAGAGAGAGAGGAGAGCGAGAGCGAGAGCGAGAGAGTGCTCCCTTCAGTTGGTTCACTTCCCAGATGGCTACATAATGGCTGAGGCTGGGCCAAAAGCCAGGAGCTGGGAATACAACTTGGATCTTCTGCAAAAGTGGCAGAAACGAGGCCGGAGCTGTGGCACAGTGGGTTAATGCGCTGGCATTCCATACGGGCGCCAGTTTGAGACCCGGCTGCTCCACTTCTGATCCAACTCTCTGTTATGGCCTGGGAAAGCAATAGAAGATGGCCTAAGTCCTTGGGATCCTGCACCTGTGTGGGAGATCTGGAAGAAGCTCCTGGCTTCTGATTGGCGCAGCTCCGGCCGTTGCGGCCATCTGGGGAGTGAACCAGCGGACGGAAGACCTCTCTCTCTCTCTGCCTCTCCTCTCTCTGTGTAACTCTGACTTTCAAATAAATATCTTTTAAAAAAAAAAAAAGTGGCAGAAACATAGTTACTTGAGCTATCACTGCTGTCTCCCAAGGTCTGCACTGGCAGGAAGCTGGAGTCAGGAGCCAGAGCGAGAGCCAGAACTGAACCCAAGGACTTTAGTATGAGGCCTAGATATCTTAACATCCTAAACACTAAGCTTAACACCCGCCTCCCTGTTTTGTTTTTTGACAGGCAGAGTTAGAAAGAGAGAGACAGAGAGAAAGGTCTCCCTTTTTTTTTTTTTCCATTGGTTCACCCCCTAAATGGCCGATCCGAAGCCAGGAGCCAGGTGCCTCCTCCTGGTCTTCCATGCCGGTGCAGGGCCCAAGCACTTGGGCCATCCTCCATTGCCTTCCCGGGCCACAGCAGAGAGCTGGACTGGAAGAGGGGCAACCGGGAGTAGAACCCAGGGTGCTGGCGCCGCTGGTGGAGGATTAGCCAAGTGAGCTGTGGTGCCGGCCTTATTTTTTTTTTTAAACTAAATGTTAACTTAATTCAGTTTTTAAAAATGATTTATTATTTTGAAAGATTTATAGAGAGAGGGAGAGACAGAATTCTTCCATCTGCTGGTTCATTCCCAAGATGGCCACAATGGGCAACACTGGGCCAGGCGGAAGCCAGGAGCCAGGTAGTTTTGTCCAGTTTTCCCACTTGGGTAGCAGGGGCCCAAACACTTGGGCCATGTTCTGCTGCTTTTCTCAGGCATTTAGCAGGGAGCTAGGTTGGAAGTAGAGCAGCAGGGACATGAACTGGCAACCATATGGGATGCTGGCATCGTAGGCGGTGGCCTTATCCACTGTGCCACAATGCCACTCTGTAAATTTTTATTTTAATTAATTCTCATTTTATTTTCCTTGCTCTTAGTTTTTTGGTTGGAATGATTTTAAATCAACATGTAAGAAATAAAGAGAGAGGGATGGACCTTATGGCATAGTGGGTTAATCGTGGCTTGAGACGCCTGCACCCCATATTGCAGTGCCAGTCCAAGTGCCAGCTCCTCTGCTTCCCATCCACTTCCTGCGAATGCATACTGGGAGGCAGCAGAAGATGGCTTACGTGCTTAGGACCCTGCCACTCACATGGGAAACCTGGATGGGATTCTGGGGTTCTGGCTTCAACCTGGCCTGGCCTGCTAGCTGTGGGCATTTAGGGAGTGAACCAGTGGATGAAAGATCTCTGTCACTCTCTGTTGCTCTGCCTTTCATTAAACATTAAAAAGAAGAAGAAAAAGAAGGATCTGGCATTGTGGTGCAGCAGATTAAGCTGCTGCTTACAATGCCAACATCCTACATCAGAGTGTTAGTTCAAGTCCTGGCTGCTCTGTTTCTGATCCAGCTCCCTGCTAATGCACCTGGGAAAGCCGTGGAAGATGGCCCAAGTGTGTGGGCCCCTGTACTCCTGTGGGAGATCCAGATGAAATTCCTGGCTCCTGACTTTGGTTTGGCCTAGCCCAGTCCATTATAGCCATTTGGGGAGTGAACTAGTAGATGCAGGATCTCTTTCTGTCTCTTCCCCTCTCTCTGTCAATCTTCCTTTCAAATAAATGAAATGAATCTTTTTTGGAAAAAAGAACACTAAGGGGCTGACATTGTGGTATAGTAGGTAAAGCCGCTGTCTGTGGTGCCAACATCCCGTATGGGCACAAGATTGAGTCCTAGCTGCTCCACTTCAAATCCAGCTCCCTACTAATGCACCTGGGAAAGCTGCAGAAGATGGCTCCAGTACTGGGACCCCTACACCTGATGTGGGAGACCATCCTGGCTTTGACCTGACCCAGCCCCAGCTATTACAGCCATTTGGGGAGTGAACCAGCAGATGGAAGATTCTCTCTCTCTCTCTCCCTCTGTTACTCTACCTTTCAAATCCGTGTATCTATGTGTCCATCTATGTATGTATATATGTATGTATCTATTTTTTTAAAAAAAGTCCTGTCTATGAGTACTTGGATTCAGTACCCAATTCTGCTCCTGACTCCAGCTTCCTGCAATGAAGACCCTGGGAGATGGCAGTGATGGCTCCAATGATTGGGTGCCTGCCACCTAGTTCCTGCCACCTGAATTAAGTGTCCAGATCCCAGCTTTGTTTCCTAGCCTGGGTCCATGGCGGGCACTTGAGGAGTGAACCAGTTGATGGGCACTCTCTCTACATATTTGTCTCTAAATAAATAAATAAGTAAATATTTTAAAACTCTAAGAGCAAACATCAGGATGGCATTTTTAATAAGTCACCTCTGTTCCTGACTGCCGCAAGGCTGCCTTACCCATTCCTGCTTCCACCCAGGGCCGAGACTTCCCCTTCGATGACTGTGGCCGGGCCTTCACCTGCCTCCCTGTGGAAAGTCCCCAGGCCCCGGAGGAGGCCTTAGTTTGCAACTTGGACTCCCTGCTGGACATCATGACCTTCCGGGTGAGGCTGCACCTCCGCTACGTGCTTTGCAGTCTCAGTGGGCGACCCCAGTAAGAGTAGTTTCGGAGGCATCTAGAGTGAGTTAGAGCTTCAGAACTTAGTCTGGAACATCTTGGGGGAAAGTGGGTCCCCAGCTGGGGGTGGTGGCGGCGTGGCATGGGCACTGAGGGTTCAGGAGTCTCCTGCTACTTTAGCAGCAGAGCCCTGTGGACCAGGTGGCTGCTGGAGCCCGTGGAACAGGCTGAGGCTGGGCTGTGGGGAGCAGAGGAAGGGCTGGGCCAGGCCACCATCTGCATTCTGTCTCTCCCTGCAGCTGGGCCCAGGCTGCCCGCCAGGCGTGTGGGTCTGCAGCACTGACATGCTGCTGTCTGTTCCTGGAAACCCTGGTGAGCCTGCAGGGGCCTGGGGCTGCCTTCCCTGGCCACAGCTGGTGTGGGCTCTGCCTATCTTGGGGCCTGCTCCTCTGCCCTGCTCAGAAGGGAGGCTGTAGGATGTGGAGAATGAAGCCCCGATCAAAAGGCAGGGCTTCCCCTGCTGGGCCTCGGTCTGCTTGCCTGCAGGTGGATGTAGTCAGCCCTGCCCCTTGTGCCCATGGGGCTTTATGGGAGACACCTGGGAGGGAAGGGGCTGTCATTCTCCGAGGATACTGTCCACTGGGCTTTGGAAACTGTGTTTCTCTTTTAGAGGCTCCAGGGTGCTCGTGCCCTGGGCTCTTGCCCCCTGGCTGAGAGTTCCCTGCCTTGGGTGCGGGCCCTTGGGAGCCTTCTCACTGCCGCTGCCCCACAGAGATCTGCTGGGACAGCTTCCGGGGAGCCAGAGTGATTGCCTTTCCGGGGAGTCCAGCCTACGCTCTGGATCATGGCGTGTACCTCACTGACTCCCAGGTAGGGTGCTGGGGCAGTGGTGCGGGCAGCAAGCGGCCTGGGCCAGCCCTGCAGTCCCGTGCGCCAGGCAGCTCGCCATCGGAACTCTCCGGTGTGATCTTGAGCCTGAGGAATTTCTTCCGGGGAACAGCTCTGAGGCTCACTTGCTCTTATGCCAGAAATGCATTTCCCGTGACGCTGCCAGGCCCTGTGCTCGGCTGCCAGGCCCTGTGCTCGGCTCCAAGGCTGGGGAGCCGTTCAGAGCCCGCTGTCTACTGTTGCAGGTGGAACTGTCAGTCACTTGTGTCACTTGGGTCCCCGTGGGTGTGCTAGTACCCGTCAGACTTGCGAGGGGGACACGCTTGCGGACACCTCCTCCGCTACCCTCCTGCCGGCCCCTCTCCCACGCCCTTCCCCCTCTTTTCCCCACACAGGACTTCGTTTTGGACATTTACTACCAGGGCACCGAGGCGGAGATACAGCGGTGTGTCAAGCCCGATGGGCGGGTGCCCCTGGTATGGCTGCTGGGCCTGGATTGGAGGTCTTTGGGGGACCTTATGGAACAGGGGCAGTGGGGGGTTATCTGCCTCCCTGGAGCAGAGCCCCACTCCTTGCAGAAGATCCTAGGGCAGGCTAGAACTGGAATGTAAGGGAACCCTGGAACCGGCATTCAGTGAGCAGGAGGAGCCCACGTTGGGGGAACGTTTGACTTTGGGACTCAGGGTCTTGTCCCAAACCAGGTGGCCTAGAACCAGTGGGGGCAAGTGGGGATGTAGCTGGGAGTAGGTCTAGAACCAGACTTGGGGGTGCTTCCAGAATGCGGGCCAAGGGTGGGAATGGAGGGGAGGGGTCTGGGATTGGACTGTGAGGAGATGGAGGAGTGAGTGCAAGGTAAAAGCTGAACATGGAGGGAGGGTCCCAGAAATTCTGGTCGGAGTGCACTCGGGGTTTGTTTGGAGTCTGGGTGCAGGCGTGGCTTAGAAAACGAGAGTCCTTGCCCTGCGAGGCCCCTAGCCGCACTTGGCATCTGCACCCTCCCAGCTTGTGCTCAGGCCTGGCCTAGGGGGTCCCCCCACCTGACGCTTGTGGGGGCCCCTCCAGGTCTCTGGAGTTGTATTCTTCTCTGTGGAGACCGCCGAACGCCTCCTGGCCACTCACGTGAGCCCACCCCTGGACGCCTGCACCTACATGGGTTTGGACTCTGGAGCCCGGCCTGTCCAGGTGATTGGGGAGGGCGACAGTGGGTGCCTGGCCCGGGAGGTAAGGTGCTGTGTGACTGCAGACCTGCCCTCCCCTCCGTGGGTCAGCATCTGTGCAGACGGAACTGCCCCAGCTCAGCCTTGGGAACCTGGGGCCCAGTTCTGACCCACAAACAGCTGTGCTTCCTGTCCTTGCCCCAGCTGTCGCTGTTTTTCGACATCCTGCTCTGCATGGCTCGGAATGTGAGCAGGGAGGACTTCCTGGTGGGGAGGCCCCCAGAGATGGGGCAGAGTGACGCGGCTGTAGCAGCTTACCTGCAGGGTGCCCGGGCCCAGCTGTGGCGGGAGCTTCGAGATCAGCCCCTCACCATGAGTATGTACTGCCTCTCGATGGGAGTGAGGACCCCCTAAAATGGGGCTGCCCCCTTGCTTTCAGACCAAGCCACCCCGTGTATGGACTGGGCAAGTCCCTTTGGCCCACCCAGAGCACCCTGTGGAGAGAGCTCTTTGTGTCCCAGGCTCTAGTCTGAGCCTGCCTACTTCCTGTTGTGAGACTTGGGGCAGATCACCGAACCCCTGAGCCTCCGTTTTCCCATTGGCCCAAAGGGCCCATTGCCATCCTGCCCTGCTGTCGTCTGATGAGGGTGTGTGTGCTGGCAGGGGGTCAGCGTGGCCCAGAGCTGCAGCAGGCATGGGGCTGGGGTCCCATCTTATGTCACTGCAGCCTATGTCCCCGAAGGCAGCTATACCTACATGACCTCAACCAGTGAGTTTCTGCTTAACTTCACGCTGCCCAGTGGCCCTGGGGCCAAGATCATCCACTCCCAGGTGGAGGTGAGCTGTGCTGGGTGCTTGGGGCCAGGTGGGATGTGGGATGTGGTGCTGGAGCAGATGCCCTGTGAGCGTCAGGTTTGGGGTCCCCCTTTTCCACACGAGGCACTGGAGGCTGAGTGAGTTGCCCAAGATCACAGGGTCAGTAAGTGGCCGAGTCGGGGTGCTGTTATGGAAAGTTGAAGAAGGCCTTTCTATGGGGTCTGCTTGGGGACATCTGAAGTGATGGCCCAGGTCACTGCCATGGTGCTAATGCAGGGGGCAAGTAGACGGAAGAGGTAATCCTCAGGGGGGTGGGGTGAGAAGTGGTTGCACAGGTGGGATGGGGATAGGCCTCCGGCTGGGGCCAGGCCATGTCCACAGGGAAATCTGCTAGCTGAAAGGCCTGGAGAGTAGGGACCTTGACTTTCTAACCCCAGGTGCTGGGTTGTGGGGGAGTAGTGGGGTGGCCCCGGCCCTTGGCCCTCGCTCTTCACTGTGGTTCTCGCTGGCTTCACAGGAGCCAGAGCTCCTGGAGCCTGGGAGCTGTGTGATCAGCTGCCTGCTGGAGGGCCCTGTCCGACTGGGGCCCGGGAGCGTCCTGCGGCACTGCCACCTGCGGGTGAGGTGGAGAGGCGTGCCGAGGGGAGGGGAGGCGGAGCCCCTGGCCTGTGTGTTTTGCGGGCACCTGGGGAGCCTGCCCGCCCAGGACATCGGCCCTCTTTCCCTGCCAGGGCCCCATTCACATCGGCGCTGGCTGCCTCATGAGTGGACTGGACGTAGCTCAGTCTGAGGCCCTGCGTGGCCTGGAGCTGCGTGACCTCATCCTGCAGGGACACCACACACAGTTGCATGGCTACCCAGGCCGGGCCTTCACCCTTGTTGGCCGTCTGGACAGCTGGGAGGTAGACACTGCCTTCTGTCCCCTCATCCTCATCTTCAGGTTTTAGGGACCCCCAGGTTCCAGCCCCCACTGCGCTGCAGGCTCTGTGGACCCTGGCCTGAAGAATAGGCTGTGGGGACTGTGTGGCCAGGAGAGTTTACCCCCATGTTGCAGGCTGGAGACTGAGGTTCAGAGAGGGCGGTGGGCCATGGTGGGCCCCGGAGCCTGCTCCAGGCACCTGGGTCCAGGCTCTTGGGTTTGAGGCAGTTTTCCCCTATGTGCCCATGTCTCTCTCCATGTCCCCACCCCAGCAGCTCCTGGCCCACCTGACCTGGTGTCCCCAACCCCTTCCTGTGGGCCCTGCAGCCCTGACTGCTTCCTCCTCTTGTCCCAGAGACAGCGTCCAGGCACGTACCTCAACATGTCCTGGAGCGACTTCTTCAAGAAGACGGGCATCCGGTATGGTGGAGAGCTCCGCAGCCTCTGTAGACCTTGGCCTCGCCGGCCACCTCTTCAAGGCTTGCACCTCCCCCGCCCCAGCTCAGTCCCAAACCCCGCTCAGCATCTCCCTGGGCCTGGGCTAGTTTGGGGCAGCTCGAGTCTCTCCAGCACTTTCCCCTGGGCGACTCCAAATGTCTGGCTGTGCTCAGACTTTTGAGATTTTTGTTCAGCGGCCTGGGAAAGGGAGCAGAGATCTGGTCTCCCTCCCCAGATCGCTGACCTGTGTCACGCCCATCCTGTGCCTAAGAGTTGACAGGTGTCAGGGCTTGGGAAGGGGGCGGGAACCCGGGCTTTCCTCCTGCTAATGTGTCCTCTCCCCACATCAGAGAATGGGATCTGTGGGACCCAGACACACCCCCTGCAGAGCGTTGCCTTCCCAGTGCCCGCCTCTTTCCTGTGCTCCACCCCTCGAGGGCCCTGGGCCCCCAGGACATGCTGTGGATGCTGGACCCTAAGGAGCATGGAGGGGAGACTCTGCGGACCTGGCGAGCCTCCTGGCGCCTGTCCTGGGAGCAGTTGCAGCCATGCCTGGATCGGGCTGCCACGCTGGTCTCCCGCCGGAACCTGTTCTTCTGCCAGGCCCTGCGGAAGGCACAGCACGTGCTAGAGGCCCGGCAGGACCTCAGTCTGCGCCCGCTGATCCGGGCCGCTGTCCGTGAAGGCTGTCCTGGGCCCCTGCTGGCCAGGCTGGACCAGGGTAAGTGTGCTGGGCTCTAGAGCTGGGGATGCGGACCAGGGTCACCTGCCTTTTGAGCTGTCAGCACGAGGGGAGAGTCTAACTAGGGGAGAGACACACTGGCAGTTTCTAGATCAGGGGTTGAGTCTTTGGTCCTCTGAGAACCAGCATACACACATGTATGCTATCTTTTTTATTATTACTATTATTATTGTTATTTTTAAAATTTACTTTGAAAGGCAGAGAGTCAGAGACAGTCAGAAATCTTCCACCTATTAGTTCATTCCCCAAATGCAGCTAATAGCCAGGGCTGGGCCCAGCTACTGCCTGGAACTCAATCCAGGTCTCCCATAATGGTGGCAGGGAACCAAGTGCTTGCGCCATCACCTGCTGCCGCCCAGCTGGAATCAGAAGTGGAGCCAGGACTTGAACCCAGGCATTCCAGTATGGGAGCAGGTGTCCCAAGTGAGGTGCGCTGCCTGGGGGCTCAGAGCCTTGGCCTCCAAAGCAGCACTTCCATCACCGTGAGGAACATTATCCTTATTTAACTCCGTCATCCCCAGCCGCACGGCTATGGCAGGGGCGCTGAGACTTGAGCCTGAGCTCTGACCACCGTGGGTGTGCCAGGTGGTGCTCCAGGGGCACACCTAGGCTGAGGCTGGCAGCATGAGATCTTTTGCAGGCAGGGAGCAGGGGTACATTCACAGGCAGGATGCCAGGAGGCACGAGGGTCTGGAGTGTTTGGGGACTGTTGTGTAGCCTCTGGGGACAGAGAGCACTGGGGGCTGATCTCCTCTCCTGCCGCCCCTAACTCCTGATCCTTCAGTTGCAGCTGGGGCGAGAGACCCGGGCGTGGCAGCGCGGGCGCTGGCCTGTGTGGCAGACGTTCTGGGATGCATGGCAGAGGGCCAGGGAGGCCTACGGAGTGGGCCAGCCGCCAACCCCGAGTGGATGCGGCCCTTCTCATACCTGGAGTGCGGAGACCTGGCAGGGGGCGTGGAGGCACTTGCTCAGGAGAGGGACAAGTGGCTGAGCAGGTACTGACAGAAGTGAGACCTTTTGAGAAGCTGCTACCATCAAGGAAGTGGTCTCTGATGGTGGAAGTCCAGAGAGAGGTGGGACACCCTGGGGTCACCCAGGGCAGTCAGGTTTCCCAGACCAGACAGTTTGCCCCCCGCTTGGACTCCGGGTCGGCATCCCTTCCTTCCTTCTTGGCAGGCCAGCCTTGCTGGTGCGAGCTGCCCGCCACTACGAGGGGGCTGGGCAGATCCTGATCCGCCAGGCCGTGATGACGGCCCAGCACTTTGTCTCCAAGGAGCCAGTGGAACTGCCAGCGCCTGGGCAGTGGGTGGTGGCTGAGTGCCCGGCCCGTGTGGATTTCTCTGGTGAGCCTTGTGGGGGTGGGGTGAGGATAACTGCCCCAGAGCTGGGCTGGCAGCCCCCGTGACGGCTTGGCCTTGCTGACCTGTCACAGGGGGCTGGAGTGACACACCACCCCTTGCCTATGAGCTTGGCGGGGCAGTGCTGGGCCTGGCCGTGCGAGTGGATGGCCGCCGGCCCATCGGGGCCAGGGCACGCCGCATCCTGGAGCCCGAGCTGCGGCTGGCAGTGGGGCCTCAGCAGGACGAGATGGCCATGAAGATAGTGTGCCGGAGCCTGGATGAGCTGCAGGATTACTGCCAGCCCCATGCCCCAGGTCAGGGCACCCCAGAATATCTGCAGGTGGGGATGCACACACAGCCAGCTGGAGGATGGGGGCAGGACCAGGAGACCCCTGCACAGAGGGCAGCAGGCCCCTGGGGCCTGGCCTGAGGGCTAGCCAGTCTGGTTGAGAGGCCCTGAAAGAGAGGGGTGGAAGTCACTCTGGGCACAGGAAGCAGGGATGAGACATTTGCTCAGGTCAGGGAGCCCAGAGGCCCTTCTGTGGCATGGGAGTGCGGCCTGCCCTGCTGCTGGGTTTCTGTCCCACCAGATGAGCCTCCATTGGGTTGGGAAACAGGAGGGGGTTGGCCATCCAAGGAGGCCGAATTCCTTGCATTGTGCCTGTCCCTCCGCAGGGGCCCTGCTGAAGGCGGCCTTCATCTGTGCGGGGATAGTGCACATCCGCTCTGAGCTCCCACTGAGGGAGCAGCTGCTACGTACTTTTGGGGGTGGCTTTGAGTTACACACCTGGTCTGAGTTGCCCCATGGCTCCGGCCTCGGTAAGTGTCCCGCTGCTGCCTACCAACCCCTTTGTCGTGGGACTCCAGCCTTCCCGTGACCCCTTTCCTTGGGCTCTGATAGAAGAGGGTGGTGCAGCAGCATTGGGCTGGACAGGGCCTGCTCATGATGGTGCCTCCCTCTGATCCTGCAGGTACCAGCAGCATCCTGGCAGGTGCTGCCCTGGCTGCGCTGCAGCGGGCTGCAGGTCAAGCAGTGGGCACCGAGGCCCTGATCCACGCAGTGCTGCACCTGGAGCAGGTACTCACTACAGGTACGGGGCTGCCCCAGGTCAGGGGGAGGACACTGGACACTGGCACTTTCCCCGGTGCCTCTGAGGGCTCCCGTAGATTTGCATGATTTGCCAGCAACCACAGAACTGCTGCTCCTTAAAATGGCTGTAGTTTCCTTCTTAACACTCAGACCTTCTCTGGTGGTTTGCAGCTTTTAACTGTTCTCCCTCAAAGGGGCTGGTGCTTTGTGAGCACCCACTAAGCGCCGATTCCATGCTGCATCTTTTACATGTGTTAGGACTGTTTGCACCAGCTGCTGTGACTCATGACTGCCACCACCCACGATGTCTGTCTTTCAGGGCCTGCTGGGCACAGCTGGGTCAGCATTAGGGCTGGACCTTCAATCTGCCCTCTGGCAAGCTGCCTTGCCCGGTCACCTGTGGCCATTGAGGACCCAGTAGAGGCTATGTTCTAGGGGAACATTGTTAGCACCAGGCTTCCGTCTCCTCCTGGCCACCTGGAATCCATGCCCAGGGTAGAGCAGCCAGCAGTTTGTCTGGTTCCAGACCCTGAGGTGTTCTGTTTGCCCAGGCCTTGTCTCTGGCACAGCTCTGGGAGGACTGCCACAAGACGTGCAGATGTCTGCGTAGGCTGCTTCTGTGGCTTTGTGGCCCAGCCCCCTCCTTTCACGGAGATGACTCACAGCCTGTAAAAGGGGCAGATGGGGAGACCACGCCACTGATGAGGTGTCCCCTTGGAGTTCATTTGGTCAAATGACAGCTGTTTATTCAGAATCCACTCTGTGTTGGGCCTAAGGGATACATGAGCAAAAACAGGGCCCTTTCCCTCCAAAGTCTCATGAGGGTAGCCTCAAAATGTCATGGGAAAATAAGATCGGCACAAGAACTCCCTTATATGATTTACTGGAGGCAGATGATCATTAACCATGCAAGTGAATAAATTATTCCAAACGGTGTTAAGTGCTCAGAAGGAGAGGGGCTCACTTAGGAGTCCTTGACCTTTTGGGCCCTCCACTGCCACTATGTTTTGGCTGTAAAGTTTCAGATGCCTTCTGCCATTTGCATTTTACACTTTAAATCTTCTCAGGCCCTACCCCAGATGTGAAATCCCTGTCCCAAGGCAGCTCAACTTCAGTCATTTTAATATAGCTGCAAGGGGAGACAAAAAGAAGAGAGCCATACTGTTCCTAACTAAAGTAAGGTATACACATAGCTTTCAGGAGGTGCTGAAAAGCTCATTTCCAACACAAACACTCTGGATCAGAAAAAAAGAGGAGACCCGGTTGGGGGAGGCTTCGGCTACAGGCAAAGTGCTCTGTCACTTCCCTGGCTATGACTCCTCTAGGGGGAGGGGTCAGTGTAAAAGCTTTCTCCTTCTCATTCCAGCTACAGATCAGCTCTGACCTATGATTCCAAGTCTGGCTCTGTAGTACAGCTCTTCCCCTTGCTGGGAACAGCCTGCTCCCAGGGCTGGGCAGAAGCCGCACAGCCCACCTGTCCCAACCGAAGTTAGGGAAGCTATCTTCCCATGCTGTGGTCAGCCAGGGCTGCAGGCCGGGAGCTTGTGTGAGGAGAGTGAAGTTGGGCCAGATGTGCTCCAATAGCGAGGGGCCCTGGGCTTGCAGGAGGTGGCTGGCAGGACCAGGTGGGTGGCCTAATGCCTGGCATCAAGGTGGGGCGCTCCAAGGCTCAGCTGCCACTGAAAGTGGAGGTGGAAGAGATCACTGTGCCCGAGGGCTTTGTCCAGAAGCTCAATGACCACCTGCTGTTGGTGTACACCGGCAAGACGCGTCTGGCTCGGAATCTGCTGCAGGTGAGTCCTGGCCCCAGAACGAGGGAGGAAGGCAGCCTGCCTGGCTGGGCCCGGATCTCCATTACGCCTTGCTGCTGCATCTGTAGGACGTGCTGAGGAGCTGGTACGCCCGGCTGCCTGCGGTGGTGCAGAACGCCCGCAGCCTGGTGCGGCAAGCTGAGGAGTGCGCTGAAGCCTTCCGCCAAGGTGAGGAGCCTCTTCCAGGGGAAGTTCCAAGCACCAGGGGCAAGGGCCACACGGCTTGTAGGTCTCAGAGGCCAGGGCCTCTGCAGCCTCGGCACAGGCCCTGGATATTAGGCCCCTGGGAACGGAGGCCTACAGTGTGCTCTCTCCAGCATCTCACACTAAGGTGCAAATCATATTTGAGGACAAAACTTGTATCCTGGGAAAGGGCACCAGGCCCGTTTCCCAGGAAACTGATGGGAGAGGAGGCTCGGCCTGTAGAGCCTGTAGCTCAGTTTCAGGGGAGTTAGCCTGAGCAGGGGTTCAAGTGTGTGGCCACACAGTTCACTGAACACTATGCTGGTCACCGTGTCAGCTGCTTTGTCCACATTAGTCCTCAAGCACTGCAGTGGGCTCAGTTACTCCTCCTCCCAGCCAGCTCTGGAACTTGGGGTCTTTACCTTCACACTGGTTAATAACTGCCTCTTGGCACTTAATATTCAATTTACACAAGGGTGTGGGGTAAGTGTACTGCCAAGACGTGCCACCTGCTTGTGCCCCCCACTCCAGGAATGCTGCCTTTGCTGGGCCAGTACCTCACCTCGTACTGGGAACAGAAGAAGCGCATGGCTCCAGGTTGTGAGCCGCTGGCTGTGCGGCGGATGATGGATGTCCTGGCGCCCTACGTTCATGGCCAGAGCCTGGCAGGGGCAGGCGGTGGGGGCTTTCTTTATCTATTGACCAAGGAGCCGCGGCAAAAGGAGGCTGTGGAGGCCGTCCTGGCCAAGACTGAGGTAACTGATGGTGTTGGATTGGCAACTGATGGAGGCGAGAGACCTTCCTGAGGGGCCCACCAGCTAACCAGGGGCTACCTCTACAAGTCCCCTGGCCGAGAGACCTTCCTGAGGGGCCCACTAGCTAACCAGGGGCTACCTCTACAAGTCCCCTGGCCGAGAGACCTTCCTGAGGGGCCCACCAGCTAACCAGGGGCTACCTCTACAAGTCCCCTGGCCGAGAGACCTTCCTGAGGGGCCCACTAGCTAACCAGGGGCTACCTCTACAAGTCCCCCGGCCCTGCAGTTTCACTTGTCTCCAGGAGGCATGAGATTTGGTAAGAGCTCCCTAAACAATGTTTGTCCTGTTCAGGGCCTCGGGAACTTCAGTGTCCACCTGGTAGAAGTGGACAGTCAAGGCCTGCGACTGACGCTGACAGAGTGAGGCCTCCCTCTGATACTCCCGTCAGGCTGGCATCTGCAGGAAGACACCTGGATTACAGCGGACCCGCCCTTCTTTCCTCCATGGGAGTTCTCAGCTTCCTCCTCCACTCACCTCTGCCAGTCTGCTCCTGGAGAAAGCAGACTTGAGCAACACGTGGGCAGGCTGAGGCAGTGCTTGGGAGCAAGACAGTACCTCTTGGTTCACAGTGGCCAAGGCTTGGCCTTTGCATCATCTGGACCAAAGAAGTCTCCAAGCTCTGTGTCTCACGTGGCCTTCCAAATCCCATGGCCCAGCCTGGGCCTGGCCTTCTCATTGCTTGCTAGGGCCGTGTTAGAAGCAGATGGCAGCCGGCCTTCACAGATGGCTAGGCTCTTGAGACATCTCCTGTGGTCGGCCTTAGAGTCGAGAGACCTCACATTCTTCACTCCTCAGTCCTGGGGGATTTGTGGCAATGAGTCACGGTGGTCCTGTGGCAAGTCCCTGCCAACCTAGGCCTTAACCAGCAACACTACGGATTGTGCCAAGTGACCCAGTGCCTATGGGCAGTGGGTTCTCAGGACTGATATTCTTGGAATAAATTCCACTTGGCCCTTCAAAGTTGTCCTCAAAGCTTTTTGTTTCTGCCGGGAGCAATTCCCACTTCCCTTGGCACTGTGGGAAACTGCCTCAGGATAACCCGGTGGGGCTGAGGATCCAGGACTGGATGAGGGTTCCTACTGCCATGTGGGCCCTGGAGTTGGCCATGCACAGCTGTGGGTATGGGAGGAGGCTGAGGCCTCAGGCTTTTGCCTGCATACTCGGTGCAGATGGTGGACCCGTCCTGCCCTGCAGCAGCCAGCTCTCCTTGGAACCAGCACACTGGCGTCTCTTCAAGGAGTGTCTTTATTCAGGGATTGTACACATCACAACCTCTTCTTGAAGTCAAACCTAATTCCCAGGTCCCCAAACGCACTCAAGTCCTCTAAGGCTGGCAGGGTAATGTGTTTGGGGATGCGAGAGTGACCACCCACACAGAGAGCTGGCCTGGACCGCATGCTGCCTGCTTCGGCTTTCCCACTTCCCTTGGTGTGGAAACGCTGCCCCAAAGCACCGCCCAGCCAGGTCTGACAGCAATGCGTGGAAAGAGTCCAGGCCTTGTTTCCCTGCTGCCAGAGGTGGAATGGCCTGGGCTGTCAGGGTTCCCTGAAGGCAGTCTTGCCCAGCTCTTTGACCATGGCTACTTAGGGAACAGGCCCTGAAGGGTGATGGGCCGCGGGCGCCCACCCTGCAGCTACAGGCGCAGCCTCTTGATGTCCTCGCCACGGAAGTCTATGCGCAGAGCCAGCACTTGGCGCACTTCAGCAGGGGTGAGGCGCCAGGTCAGTGGGCCGGAGTTGGCACCCCAGTAATCTAGTATCTCTGTCACCTGTGGGTAAGAATACAGAGGCCAGTCAGCAAGGTGGGGGCTATTCCTGAGGAAAGCCCTGGATTCCACTAGGGGCAGAGCAGGGGTACCAAGAAGGGAAAGGTACCCCAGAGGGCTGGGCTACTGGCAGAGACAAGGTTTGAGGGAGTGGCAAGGGTACACATTTTTGCCTGCCTCTTTCCAGTCACTTTTCTCTGGCTAGGCTGAGGGAGCCCCACATACCCGCTCCAGGTTGAGGATTGTAGCCATCTGGGAGAGTCGGGCAAACTTGTCTCGGATGGTCCAGGTAGTCACTGTGGTAAGGTAGGCGATGAGTGACCTCAGCTCCTTGTCAAACTGTAGACCTCCCAGCTGTAGGACAATACAAAGCCCAGTCACTGTTTAAGGCCGGGCCCTCTGGCCCAGCAGAATTGCCCTCCAATTGCCCCCAGAGCTGGGTGGCAAATGTAGCAGGGTCTCAGGTGGTATTTGTTTTAGGGCCTCAGAAACAGGCAGGACTAGGCTTAGGTACATAGGGTCTACAGGGAGCAGATAGAGGACACAAGTCCTGAGGCGACATGGCATGGCTTGTCTTCCTCCCAGGCAATACAACAAGAGCTGTGGACCCTTGTACTCCTGAACTTACCCGATTGAAGGTGGATTTCAGCACCACTTTCTCCAACTCAACAGCAACAAGGCTGGTCATGAGGCCAGTCAGACTGTCATAGATGACTGGGGACAGGCTGGCCTGCATATAAAAAGCTTGTCATTAGCATAAGTCCTGTCCAGCCCCTCATCTCTACACTGGAGTCTTCACAGGGCCAGTGAGGCCACAGGCCAGCGTTTGAGGGCTGGGGCTTGGAAGGGCTTTCAGGGTCTCTAGCAGGAATGTGGTTAGAAGCTGTAGACTCCTAGTTTGGACAAGGGTGAGTAATTTTGTAAGCTGACCCCTAGACCCTGCTCACCTTGAACTCTGCCATTTGTTGCTCCAGGTTAAGGATGAACTGTTGGACCCAAGGGTCATTGGCTTCATAATCATTGAACTCTTCCTATTGTCAGGAAGCAAAAGGGGTTACCATGGCTTCTTTCTAAGTATTATTCAACCCTGCCAACCTCAGACTTCTGAGAAATTGATGGTAAGAGGACCTTCCTCCCTGTGGCTTCAGACTCCTTCAGTTTAAAACCAGCTTGAGGGTATGCATTTGGCCTAGTGGTTAAGAAGCCCACATCCCATTCTGGAGTGCCTGAGTGCAATATGTGCCTCTGACTACTTCACCCTAACTTCCTGGGTAACAGTGGTGATGGCTCACCAGTAGCTAAGAGACTAAGACTGCCTTCCTGGCTTCTAGCTTTGGCCTTAGGCCAGTCCAGACTATTATGGGTATTTGGGATGTGAGCCAGCAGATGGGAGCTTTCTTTGCTATCAAATAAATAAGTAAATGAAAAACAAAAAGAAAAAAACCAATGCTTGGGATGCCCCCAACCCATATCACGGAGTGCTTGGGATTGAGTCCCAGCTCCTCTGCTTCCAATCCAGCTTCCTGCCAATGTGCATAGAAGGGAGCTGATGGCCCAAGTACTTGGGTTCCTGCCATGCACATGGGAGACCCGGATAGAGTTCCTGGCTCCTGGCTTGGGCCTCCCCCAGCACTGGCTGTTGCAGGCAATTTGGAGAGTAAACCAATGGATAGAAGCTCTCTCTCTCTTTTTCTCTCCCTGTCACTCTGCTTTTCAAATAAATTAATTAATTAGAAAACTCAACAACAACCAAAAAAACAACCTGGACACTCAGGCTAACAGAAACTGCTGCTGCATCATACCTGTGACCAGCAAACAACCCTGGGTTGCAGCAGTGGCCCACAAAGTATGGTATGGCTCCTCACTTTTTATTGCCCCTTGAATTTCAAATTCTACAGGACAGAAATCACTAAGGGGGAAAAAACAACCTCTTACGTCTATGATAGGTGGGACAAAAAGAGCCTCAATAACAGAGACTGAGTCAGATTAAAACAAACTCCCTTTAGAGGTTCACTCTGAGCCCTCACGATGGTGGGAACCACCTGTTTCCTGGGAGGGACCTA